AGGAAATTCTGGGGGGATTCCCGACTGTCCTGCGTGATGTTTATCAGTCTTTGATAGATATCTGTGGAGCTATCCTCTTTAAAGTGTCCCTTTAAAATTGCTTTGAGCTGGGGCAGGGTCAGATCACGTTTAATTTCAAGCATGTCCCGAATGCTTAACCCAGGGCTGATTGATTTTATTACAGCTTCTATAACTTCAGCATCACCATGTCCTTTACTCAGGCCTCTCTCAATCTGATGCATCAAGTTTGTGTATGAGAGCCTGTCTTTCTGGCCCTTCTCCCCTATTTGACCACAAATTTTAAATTCTCTCCGTATGGTCACTTCTGGAAGCCTATCCACTGTGGTTGGCATCACATTTTCAGTCACAGTTCTTAGAGGCTTACTATTTACACGTTCATTTAGCCTCAGTACTTCCTCTTGCAAAGCCTTGTTGTTAAGGTGGAGCTGTGCACATTTTTCTGCTAAGTCCATTTGTTCAGTTACTGCCTGGGTACTTCGTGAGGTGTTACACATTGCCTCCTCTTCAGCAGTAACTTCAGAATGTTGTGATATCAGTTCAATTGATTTTAACATTCTCCGAAGATAGCACTTTGCCAACTCCTCTTCTTCTTCGTTAATCACAGCATCTACGGACTCTGTTATTAATCGTATTAACGTTCGTCTCGTTCCTGAATGTCCGCTTTGAATTTTAGCTTCTGCACACACCTCTTTGAGCTGATCCAACTGTAAGAGCCATAGCTGCTGAGAGACGGTCTCTGCCAGCTCCTCCATGTCGGTCGCGCCCAGTGTCTCCGCGCTCCCGCCACTGCTCGCTCCTGTTAGCATCACTCAAGGAAATCCCGCGACGAAGCGTTAATAATCTCGGTGGAACCTCCAATATTTTGTTGCACACTCGAACACAAAAATGATGTTGAGACATGCGGTGGGTTTTGACTTGTCTTTACTTTCCTTCTTCAACAATACAGAAACTTAGAAAACTCAGGACCCCAGCTCTCCTAAGCGCCTGTTCAAAAACAAACACACACAAACTTAGGACCCAGGCTGCCCTCAGCGCCTGATCAAAATTGAACCACACTTCAACATAAATGGGGGGGCAAGGGCAACTGGTCTCCCACATACTTCCTAAGCAGCATGATTGCGGGTAGTGCTTTGTGATATGTAACTGCATCTGTAAGTTTCCATTCTCCATTCTGTTTGAGAAAACTTGAGCAACTGCTAGAAGCCACAAGAAACACACGAAGAAAGATTTAAAGTAGTTATGGTACGCAGCACAGACCTGATGTGTTCTCATGTTTTCTCCACTGTGGCCTCTTGAATGAAGAGCTCTCTCGCTCAGTGTGACCCAGGGTCAAATTCATACAATCTGTTGATGCCACCCAGTAGCTTTTTGATGGTCTTGACTGAGCATCTTTGGCCTCCACTCATCAATGTGACCCTCACTTTTATGCAGAGAGAGAGAGAAGTTACATATATTACAGATGACCTCAGCAGCCACCTAAGTCACATGTCGAAACACCCATTCTGCAAAACCGGCCGTGGCTACAATTTGTTTTTGGTCACACAGATGAAAAAAGGTCAGCCTGTGCTCACCTCCAGGTGACACCAGGTTAATGACAAACATGCCCATCATTGATGGACGTTCAACCATGCACAAAAGAAAAGAGGACGAACTTCATCAACAGAGAGTAGTCGTTTTAAAGTTCCCTCTGGAAATCTTTGCAACTCTTTGCAGTCACCTTCCTCAGTCAGCTAGGCAAGAAGTACTGGAGCGGTATTGTATTAAGCTACTAATGGCAATGACCGCGAAGTGAGGCAATGGTAATCTTGTCTTTTTCACCTTACCCCATGCTTGTCAAACTTCGGGTTTGAGAATACAGGAAATGTCGCCTGGAGTGGCCACATTGAGGTGGTAGGGTTGGGTGGCAGGCGAACGGATGGAATTTTAATAATCGAGGTGCTCAAATCATTCGAGGAATCATTTCAGCCCTAATATCCAGCAAAACTATTAGGTCTTGAATTTTGAAACAGTCTAACTTTACAATCAACCTAAGTGAGGTCTTTGAAGTATTTTTGTAGCATACTCCAGTACTTTAATTTGTATTGTGCTTTTTTTAGACTTAAGTCTGTCAAACAAAACTGTGTTCCAACTCATTGTGTGTAACTTGAGATTTAGAGTTAATGTTTATACAATACCAAATTAAATAGCTAAGTTTTAAGGTATGGTCATTGCCATTCATTTTAAATGTTGAATTAAAATTTAAAACGTAACATGAATTAATATTTAGAAATAGCAGTTACTCCTACTATCATACACCAAGGTATTAAAAAGGTGTGTTTCCATAGCTGTATGTATTTATTTCTGAAACACTGACTTTGGTTAAAAGTGAGAGATACCATAGAAGTGAAAGAGAGACTTGAGTTTTGTCCTGTTGTAGAGACTATTTATAAGCATTTCTGTATTTTTCGGACCATAAGCCGCTACTTTTTTCCCACGCTTTGAACCAAGCGGCTTGTGGCCCAATGAGGCTTTTTTGTGGAATTTTCTTTTGTGGATTCACTTCCTGCTCTGTAGCAGGAAGTGAATCATTGGAAGTTAAAATTGGAAATCAAAGAAGAAAGTGTTCATTTTTATTTAGAACAAGCTGCGTCCTTATGGAAAACCAAGAGTGGCAGATACTAGTGTTTTATAGCCCGGTGCGGCTTATATATGTACTTTTCCAGTTTTTTCAAAAAAATTTGTAGGTGCAGCTTATAGTATGGTGTGCTCTATAGTCCGCAAAATATGGTAAATACATATTACATCATAGTACAGTGTATCAAGTTTTAAAAAGTTATAGTAACCAAATGTCCAATAAAATGTTTCAATATAGCATTCTTGTATCATAAAGTGTTGCATTCAAAACCAGAAAATGTCCCAGAGAGTGGTGTAGTCCTGGCTGTGCCCCCACCTGTTGCTGCACACTGTTCATCAATTCGCTCAAATTAATCTCCAACACAGTCCTCTCGATTACAAAAAGTAAAAAGTTTAACTGTTTTAAATGGTTTTCTGGATGCAAAACATACAGACAGTCATAGTGTGGGAACTAGAGGAGCACCACCCATCACTCTGAGTGAAGCTCTAATAAGAGTGATAGGTGATACAAAGGTTTAAATATTGTTATTATTATCTTGGTTTACATGGAAATGTATTTGGAATCTGGTATCCATTTATTGTAAAATACTCAGTCCCATTCAGAACATATATCTGACATAGAAATGCAAGTATAAACTTGTCATTATGAACCAATTTGTCTTTTTTCCCAGGATACAAATAACTCCCTTCAGAACACAGGGCCTGTTTGCTTTGACATCATGCAGCTGATACAGTAGAGCCAAAGTTAGTATTGCAACTCATAGGATTCACAAGAGCAGTGTGCAAAACTTGTAGGGGAAAAAAACAACTCTTCATTCAGGCTACTCAAATGCATTCAGCAATTTAAATACAAGCAAAACAAAATTAACTACCACTGACATGTAACTAACATATTATTAACTACATCAGGCTCTCCTGATCAACATATTTCTCAGACTTACCATAAGCAAGATCAGGTTGATTTTTCTGCTTAAAGTTCATGGTGTTTATGGGTTTGTTCTTATTTGCTAAGGTGAATCTGGGGGATGTTGTAGGTGGGTTGAATTCAACCACCCTATTCTGTCTTTGACCTTGATTTAGGTCAAATTTTTTGGTTTGCAATCGGAGTAAGAGTTCCTTTTTCTGTTTTAAATTAAATGTATTAAATTATGCTATACTTTTTGTGCACATTTATTTTGTCAATAATCCGTTAAGTCAGATTTTTATCAAAGGGTTTCCCATTTAATTTATTCAATTGATTTTTAAACAAAACAATTTGGTCTAGTATAGGCCATTTATATGACATTCAAAAAGTGCAAGGAATCTCTGTCAGACTTTAATGAGAAGATTAAAAAATAAATAATAATAAGATTAGACATTTTTTTCTGATACACTTGAAGTATCCAAGCTCGACCTCCTCTTTTTGCCTCTTGTGGTGTTTACCACAGCAGTGGTTTGCACCAGTCGAATGTAGTCCAAGGACAATCATGAAAGAGACATTTCGGGTCAAACGTGTGTGTCAGGAAAGCGGCCAACCCCCACTTTTTAGTTTAGTCTTCTGCTTTTCATCTCTCACAGTTTGACTGCCTAAGTTAGGAACAGCTCTGATGTGTTTTGACAAACTAAAAATATGAGAGTTGGAAAAGAAACTCCACCAGATCGTAGCTATTATTCTGTTTTAGTCGCATGTTATGCTTTCTTCTGTCTCCTCCTCTTGGTCTTGTTTTTAATTTATTCTCAGACCACATGGTCTACCCTCTGTCCAGCTGCCACCTGGCACCAGAGAACCAGCCAATCACAGCTCCACACAGGAACAACCTCAGCAGATGTCCCACAGTGGACACTGGGGGTGGCGGGGCAGGTCGGGGCGCTGAAGGCACAGTGACACGAATGGACAGAAGGCTGAGAAAGACCAGAAATGATTGTGAAAAAGCCACTGGCTTCAACCATTTTGACTTGGAGCCAGAGAATCTAACTGAGCTTTAGAATAAGATATTCCATTTTAAATACTGTATGTAAAAAGTGAAATGATTTCCATTGTATAAAATTGCTAAGTCAAGTTATTTTAATATTTCACAGCAGAATAAAGCAAAACAAACATTAAATACATCTACAGCTTCATATATGAAGTGTAATTATTGCTAATTATATCAAATTTTTGGTCAAATATCTGGTTGTATTTACTTTTGGTTGTAAACAAAGTTTCAAATCAACTCATTGTGAGCTATTTCTCAGCAGAAAAAGACTAAGGAAAGGGTTTGTGGTGGCTTTGCCATCTATGAAGCTTTCTCTTATTACAGTATGTGAGATGCTAAATCCATTAGCTGAGATAAACAATGTTGAACATTGTTCACCTTGCTGCCCCCTTTCTCTATGTACTGTCACAGATAATGGGAAATTCGTACGCAGGGCAGCTAAAGTCTGCTCGTTTCGAGGAGGCTCTCCACAACTCAATAGAAGCGTCGCTGCGCTCCAGCAGCGGAGATCCGCAGCCCATCTTTACTCAACTCTACTTGGAGCCGGAGGCATATCCAGGTAGAGTCCTCCAGAGACAAAGAAAAACATGATCTGACTTTTAACTTTAGCAATATTTATTAAATAAAGAATTTTCACATTTAGATTTTAAATGGAGGAGTTTCTTTTATATTTTTTTCATGGAATTAAAATACATTAACAATATTGTTGCCCGAGAAAGCAAATAAAGGGTTTTTTGTCAATTCGTTTCAAGAATAAACTTTAGAGTACGAGAGGATAAGTGATAAAACAACACAAAGTTATGCATCATTGGAATATTTATTGAAAACAATGCATGGTGTTCAAATGTAGTGTAATGTAAAGTCTCACCCACTTTAATGTTCGGTACTGCTGTCGTCAATAATTTGTTGCAATTACAGCTGCAAGACTTTGGGGCGTCTCCACCAGCTGTTCTAAATTTGCCTACTCTTCTTTGCAAAACAGCTGAAGCTCAATCAGAGTGGCTGGAGAGTTTCTGTGAATATCCTCACATCTTCCAGCACATTTCTATGGGATTTATGTAGGTCTGAACTTTGTCTGAGGTTATTGTTCTGATGGAAGGAGAAACTCCAACCAAAATCTAAAGTTTTTTCATGGATTCCCCTGCATTTAACTGATCCATCTTCACATCCACCACCCAGCTTCCCAGATCCTACTGAGAAAATCCCTCAGCTTATGGCTACCACTACTGCTTTGGAGCTGCTCATGATAATGCACAGCTCAGTTCTTTATTTATCACAGTCACTAAAAACAATGCAGGGTACTTTGTACTTTGTGGCTGCAATTGCTATCAATAATAAGGATTTTTGTACATTTGTATATGAAAGGAGTTAGAAAATGGTTTTACTTGATGTGACTTGATGTGATTATTGCTCTGGTGACAATAATCACATGGGATGTTTCCAGCAGATGTAAAGTCAAAAGCTGACATGCCACTCCAGGGCGAGGAGGGTCAGGATCCTCTGAACAGTCACTCTTCCAATGATCTGGAGGAGCTGGAGGATGACGATGACTCAGACAGCAGCAGCCCTCCACTTCCCTACTTGCAAACTCCTGCGCCTGATGGCTGCTGCACACTCGATGGTATCATCTCAACAGGTTTACTTTAAGAAAAAATAACTTCTCCAAAACATTCTCTTTAGAAAATTCATAATGCAGGACAGTTATACAGGTGTCACTTCAGATTTGACCCTCATCTGAAAAAGCATTGTCGTTCTTCAGGATTTTGTCAGGCTGGAAAGGACCTCCGTCTCGTCACCATAGCAGCAGAGCCCATTGAAGTCCCAGCGGGCTTTGAGTTAGTCGGTGCCAAGTCTCCCAGCATCCCCGAGCACATTCTGGTGTGTGCCGTGGACCGCCGCTTTTTGCCCGACGAGAATGGGAAAAATGCACTTTTAGGTCAGTCTGCCCTCATGATCTCAGACAGATTATCATTTTTAGTACTCGTGGTGAAATGAGTACTCAGCGCTGGCCAAACAACCGCACTGCAAAACTCAGGTAATAGGTTTAGAAAAAAAAAGTAGTAATTTCTACATTGTTTACTTTTCCATCCAGGTTTTTCAGGAAACTGTGTAGGCTGTGGTGAAAAGGGTTTCAGATATTTCACAGAGTTTTCTAATCACATCAACCTGAAGTTATCCACCCAACCCAAGAAGCAGAAGCACTTAAAATACTACCTAGTGAAGAATTCACAGGGTGCTTTGTGCAAAGGACCCCTTATCTGCTGGAAAGGTAAGGACCTCCTTGCTGAATGCAGGATTTATACATCTTTACACCATGGCATATAAATGTTTAGACATGTTATTTGACCTCAATAAAAATTTCAGATTTTTTGCCAAATCTGAAATAAAATTAAATTAAATTGAATTGTTTTACTTAAGAATATTTCTTTTAAATAGCAATTTATTTATTTATTTTTTATTTGGATAAATGCATCCTATGTCTGTGATGGCTGCAGCTGAGATTGGGCCTGATGCAGAATCACTCACTTTTTAGTGTGTCTAATTAATAGAATAATAATAATACTCTTTTATGTACATTTTTTAAGTAGTTGATGCACAGGTGAATCATTTTTGCATATGTACTCAGTGTAAAAGCTATTTCTTTCATTTCTCAAAATTGAATAAAAAGCTTATTGGTGTGTGTTTTTATTACTTAAAAACAAAACAGTTAGTAACTAATGTGCAACAATGTACAGTTTGTCCTCTGCTTGCCTTCCTAGACAGTAAAACCCGCCAGTTTTCCAGCAGCGTCTTGACCTCCAAACCGAGTTCATCCTCGTCTCTGAGCAGCAAAGAAAACGGAGGCACCAGTGGACACAGCTCGTCCCCTTTCTCCCTCTCAGGTGAGGCTGTGTGTTTGCAACATTAAACTCTTTTGTTGAGAGAAATATGGCTCAGACTCACAAATGATGCATTTGAGTTTCACTGAAACCTGGCATTTGAATGGAGCCACTGTGCTAAATGTGTTGAACAGCTTCAGTCCAGGACTTTGTAAGATTTTGTACTGGTCTCACCAGTGGGACTCATAATTATTTTTAAGTTCAATGACATCTACTGGATCAAGAAGAAGAATTGAGGAGGGTTATAGCTTTCTAAATGTTTTATAGACAGTCAAATTATCATCAAAAAAATCTCACACTTCAACTTAACACAGTGGTTCTGAATAGTTTCTTCAAACTGCTTTTGTTTTCGCTCTAGATTCCCCTCCCACTCGGATGGCACAAGCTTCCTCTGTCTTTTTTGGCAGTCATGATCTTGGAAGGGACTGCAGTTTCCTCAAACCTCTGGCCTCCACTCCCGGAAACAAAACTTTGCCAATAGGTATAGACTGTTTCCCTGTGTTACGAATAACTTTTTCCCCACAATTGCAAAATGCAATTTGTATTTTGATATAAATTTGCATCTTAAAAAACAGTTAAACTCCAACATTATCTACACTCACTGGACATTTAAAAGACTTGAGCAACCGCATCGACCTGTACACACCTGACACTTGAGCGACCCTGTCCTTACAATGAAAGACGTTGCTTAGATACAGGCTGTCGCTTTATGTGGTGCATCAAAAAGGAGTCGCTGCTGACCATAAGCCAAAGATTAACCTCTGCTTTGGCCTCTTTAGACACACTGCCAAATCAAGTTGCACACATAAACACAAGCATGTGCATGCACATCAATCAATATTGGAGGAAGAAACGCTGTAATGATTTTCTTAAGGCCTTGCTACCCATTAGGCGTTTTACAAGGTTGTGATATTGACAAGCAAAGGCCACACATAATGATTGGTGTTGCAGCATCTTGCGCATCACACGGTATGAGATGGGAAAATGTCCTATCGTAACAGACATGCATGTATAGGTAATCAATAAGCCACTGTTAGTCCTGACTCATTTAAATTTATTGTTTGTCCTCTGCAGACAATTACATGCTCAAGGAAAATATGTGCATATATACATTGAATGGCTTCAGTCCAGGAGTTACAAATGAAAACTAGTTTTAATTTTATTCAACACTATTAAGTGAATAGAAACGCACTGCCATGTCCTGATGTTTTAACACAGGGCAGAGCTGACAGTAGATGAAGAAGGGGAAATTGTCAAGTGGTTGTTTGACCAATGGGGAAAAACAAAAAAAAAAAACATTTCACAAAAGTCGTTTTAAAGCAGATAGAAAACAAGGCATCAGAAAGAAACCAAAATCATTAGGCCCTTTCTGTCTGAATATAATAACACTTTGATGTGGATACGGCTCTATTTTTCTTACTGTTTATTGTTTTGTTATTTAGTAGCTTTTTGCACCACTCTCTGCTACTTTACAGCTGATTCAGCAGTCCACGATCATTGTCAGGTTTTTTTTTTTTTTTGGTTGGGTGAGACTTGAGTGTAAATAGTGGCAACAGGTGCAGATGAGGTGGGCGTGTTAGCCAAGAGGCAGGGTGAGGATTTAATGACTGAAAAATGCCTCAGATTCCTTTAATGAAAGGAAACGAGGTGAATTCCAAAAGATGTAGGAATCTTGCAGCCTCACCATAGACCCACCTTCGCTTATTCTAAAGTTCACTAGTTTTGCATGGAGAAACCTGGCCGTTCAGTTTAGGTTAGTGCACTATTCAGTTCTGCCACGCCGATTCATGCAAGCTTTAAAGTCTTTATTTTACACATGTAGGGTCTTGTGAGAAGAGTCACAGGACATGAAGTCATGTCAGCGTGGAAAATGTTAACAAACCTTTGGCTAATAGGCTGTAGCAGAGCGTGAGACCCTGACCTGCAGGCATGGGAATGCTGCTTGGGAGTTAGGTGACCATCCCCCACCTTCCCTCTGACATTGTGATGCATTGTGATGCAAACTGTTGATAAGCTAAATTCTATTTCTGGCAAGCATTTCATGCAGGAAGGGCCTCCATATCACACTAATTATGCAGCTCTAAAAGAAATGCAATAATTTGTAATGACTATGCGTTATGTTACCTTTAAGGACTGAGAATGTGCTTGCAGCATTACTCCAGTACCTTGGAAAAGCACTCACAGCTCTTGGACCTTTTCACATTTGACCACTTTACAGCTGAATTCTCAGGTCAAATTAATTTTCAGGTGAGAGAATCAGCTGACAGGGCAGCTTTTGGTTGTTCTTGTTCCCCCAATTTTAACCCTTAAAAGAGAATAGTAATATTGTTGAATCTGTTGAGAGAAAGACAATTAACATTTCAATGCAGACACTTTTGTCAGATGAAAGCATTTTGTGGTAGGATCAAAAATAGCAACAATATTTCAGTAAAAGCATCCTGCTCTGGGAGGCTTTTCTTCAGCAAGATAGGGAAATTCATAAGCTTTAGGTAACGCAGGAAGAAATCCTGTTGGGAGCTTAAAACTAGGCCAGAGATTCATAATTTCAGAATAGTTTAGAACAAAGCATAATCATTTGTAAAACGATTATTGAGAATTTGTCAGTACCTAAAAAATGATTATTGTTCACATCCAATTTGCCTGAGCTTGAGCTACCTTGGAAGAAAGTTGGACAATCATTTAGTCAGTGGAAAGCTAATAGAAATATAACTGCTTAAGACCTAAAGTTTTAAATGAAGACAAGTCTACTAAGTATCTACCCAGGGTGGTTGAATATTTATGGTCACAACATTTTTCAGATTTTTGGTCATAAATCTCTGAAAGGCTTGGATACGTTAGGAAGGTGCTGTATGTGATTTATGAATGTAACGTGCTCTGTGTGTACGTGTGTGCTTGCAGTACCCACCGCTGTTAGGGTGAACGGTCCAACGAACGGCCTGGGTGTTGATGTGCACACTTCGTTGCTGAGCCCCTCGCAGGTCTCCTTGGTTCCACATTCTCAGGGGTATCGCACTCCTGATTTAGGAGACAGTCCCGGTAGGCTCGTTTTCTTTTTCTCTCTCTGTTATTCTTCTTTCATTTTCAGCTTGTCTTTCTTCTGAGCTGCTGTATTTGTATGTAATGTTGTTTCTGGTCTCTGTTTAATGATCAGTATCCTCTGCAATGAACTCCGGTCCCCCAAAGAAGCGCCATCGCAGCTGGCATCCCAGCACCTTGGTCCCAGTCCCACCCACCGCCGTCCCTGTGCCCGCAATTCGCCCAATAGTTGGCTCTCCAGGTTTGTTTCTCAGCCCTATATTGTTTTTTAAAACTAGATTCTACTTTTGACTATTATTGCTTTTTTATTGACTGTCCAAATCTCTGTCTGTGACCCTCTGAGCACAGTCTCTGTTCTTTTAGAGACATAAATTTTGTCTTTCCCTCCTGTGGCTTTCCATCCCTCCTGTGTGGAGATGATTTTCCCCTGACGTCACTTAGCTCCTCTGGTTGTTAAGGATGATTCACTCTGTGTGGCCATGGAGATAGAGCAGGAATACTCTAAGTGCCAAAATAATGTTGATAATTTTACTCTTGGGGAAGCTGTCTAGTCATTATGTAATAGGAGTTGATACACAACTGTATCCCTCTCCATTATTATTAGCTCCAACAATAAAAATCTGGAATAATCAAACCTTCATCTTTAGTGCTTTCTCTCAGTGTGGAAAATCCCACTGCAAGAAATAATAGTTCAAAAATCACAAGGTCAGACATCATACAGAGTCGTCAAATTTGTTTGTATTGCATATTTCAGCACGAGAGGGATTTCAAAGGTCCATTGCCCCTCAGTATTACAGGTCATCTACCATGCTTTACATCAACCTGAGATGCTTTTCAACATATAAACATGCTCATTTCTTTTTTGTTACAAACTTGATTTCTTTAGTTTTTGTTCTCTGACTTTAAAGTGTAAAGTTTTTAACCATATCATTGTTTTAAAATGAGGGTCTGCTTTAATCTTTTTCAGGAGAAACATCTAAACTTTTGCTATGTTTCAGTAAAATTGCATTTTCTATTTCTTTTTTCTCAAATGTCAAGACAACAATTACCAAAACAACAAAAATAGTCACTGTATTTGCAGCTGTCAAATAAGTATAATTAATAATTATTTTTATATGTGGGAGCACTGACTCTTTTTCTTAATTATGCTGCAGGTTCTGTATTAGCTGTGTCCTCTCCTCAGCCGCTGGCAGCTGGTGTCATTCAGCCCCAGCCTGTCAACGCAGGAGAAACCGTCATCGTTCCTGAAAACCTGCTCAACTCCTCAGGCGTTCGTCCCATCATCCTCATTGGTAGAAGTTTCTTTTCACTCATCTGTTTTATGCTAAACACGTTGAATCCACTCTGTCTGACAAAGCAAACGCAATGAAACAATAAATTTTGTTGTATTTGTGCATGAAGAAAACAGTTTTTGGAGATTTTTTTCTATGTATGAAAACAAACATTTTCACTGTTTCATTCAGGGCATGGCACTTTACCTTATTTCTATGGGAACGTTGGCAATATAGTAGTGAGCCCCCTGCTGGTCAGCTGCTATAAGAGCAGCCAGCTGACAGAAAAAAACCTGGAGACATTGGGGCTCCACAGCAGCCAGATGCTCAGTGTGGAGATGATGATCCTGCTCACTTTGCAGTATCTTGCACGCTTAGGTAAGCAACTGTTCATTAAATATGTAAGTAACAATAAAAGAAGCAGCACCATTCACATCAGCTTAATCTGAATATTATTTTGAAGTTATTTAAGTAATATACTGTAAAATGCAAATGTCTTGTTTCATAGATAAATTATGAACAAAACGGTATTTTAAAAACTTCAATTCAGCCCAGTTTTCTTTAAAAGTGTTGCTTATTCTGTTTTTGCTACTGCTGAACTTTTCATCAGTAGCAAAACAGACTTGGACACAACACTGTGAAGAGCTTCCTTCTTTAAAGATGTCTGGATCATAGCCTATTATTTCTATATCAAAGTTACTGTTTTATAGGCTTTTGTAAAATATTAAGATTTAAAAATGTTTTGATTAATCTTCACAGTGTGAAACATAACATGAACAAATGCTCAAAATATTCAAATATGTGTAATACACCTACTCAATGAACTTTTTGCGGCAAATTATGAGAATAAAATGATTTAATCATCTGAATCATCATCATCCTGATTCACTCAATAAGCAAAGGAATCTGATGAAGTTTATTTCTTTATTTCAACCGCCTCTGCAGCTTCAAACCAGATTCCTCTGAGGGAGGAGCTGGAGCAGATCGTCTTAAAGGCCATGCTGTGCTGTCCTGGGAATCCAGCCATCTCCCCATCCCAGCTTCCGTGGCTGGCTCGACTGGAAGCGAGCGTCTCCGGGGGCAGCGTGCAGGTCGTGGTAACCCACAATTCTTTGGGGGAGGGAATTTCTGAGTCCCTGCGCTCTCTCAGTGAGGGTCCTCAGCATCAGCAGCGCCTGCCAACCTACGTTGTCATTATATGTGCCTCAAAAATGAATGGCAACGAGTTCTGTGTGCTTGTTTTAGGTGAGTCTAAAGCGCTGATTTTCACAATCAACTTGCACACAGTTGCTCAGATAATCTTAATATTTGTTTTCCCTTCAGGAAAGTACCAAGCACGCGCGTTAGCTGAAGGAATGCTCACAACCAACGAGTTTCTGAAGGAAATCAGCTACGAACTCATCACAGGGAAAGTCGGAGTCCTGGCAACTCATTTCAAAACAACCTCGCTTGGTAGGTTCTCTTGTCTGCCTGAGAATTTTATTGCTTAAGTATATTAACTATTTTGAGTCATGTTATTTATTTTTTGCAATAGGTAAACATGTCTTATCTACAACCTTCTCTTCTCTGTAAGATAAATAAAACAGTTTGAGTGCTTCATTGCACAACATCGAGATGATCAAGAATAAAGAGTCCTGTTTATCAGATTTATGCTCAAGTTGTGCTTGTTTCTATGTCATTATGGCCACTGTTTTTACTTTTTTCTTTCAGGGGACAATCTTGACAAGCAGCTCGTACGATATCAGCGCAGAAGGAAAGGTCAGGTCATCCAGCCCTTCCAGGGCGATGTCACTGAGAACATCTACTCACAGGAGCCTGCCAGTATGTCACCACCACCAGACTCAGGTTGGACTCCTCTGCTTACTAGTAAACTTTATTTTAATTGAATTTGTTTGTTTCTGACCAGAATTCAGCAGCCTCTTGATCTCTAAGTCAACTTGACTCAATCAGTATCTCAGTGTTTTGAAATTTATTACAATTTCTGTATTTATGTGATGGTGAAATCCATAAACATGAGACCATTAATTAGAAATTAATTATTAGTTGTTGTGGTGGCTCATGGTGAGGTTACACATAACGTTCTCTAAAATATAGATAAATTCCTGTATCTTAAAACTAGGCTAAATATAGCAAAAGTTTTTGTGAAACATTTTCATTGTTGCTGCTAGAAGTAAACTAAGACGTATCCCATGCCAATAAAACATTTGACCCAAAATAAGGCAACCAACTGAGAACCTTTTTGGACCTAAAATAATACATTATTTTCTGCTTAATTTATCAGTTCATTGATTACCATTAAAAAAGAACAGAATTAGCAAAAATTACTTTGTATTTTTAACTGAAGAAAAGTCCTAAGTGCTGTCAATTTGCCTTTTTTTTTTTACCACACTGTGCATAACATTTGGACACCAGAGGTTTATCTTAAATTTTAAATCTTCATTGTAAATTCTCATGAATTGCACCGATATTTTCGTTTGTATTTTATCGTGCTGAATAAATATATCTACTTAATTAGAGTATTTTTGATTTTTTTTCTCTCAAAGTCATAAATTGACTTCTAAACTTACATATAAAATAAGAACCATATAGACTTCAGTCTCCTGACCCCATAAGGGACAAAGGTGTAAGAAAATGGATGGGGGGGATGTATAGTTTGCAGCATATTACCATATAGTGCCTCATTCTTGTTCCCCTGCAGTGGAGCTCTTAAATAGAGTCTTTCAGATCTATCCGGCCCAGCTGACTGTGGCTCGAAGTCTTCTCTCTCAAGTCTGCTCCATCGCTGATTCAGGGACCCAGAATCTGGATTTAGGTCGTTTTTGTAAAGTGGACTTTCTGGTTCTGGTTCCTCCATCTCACATTCTAGTTCACCAGACAGCCCAGCGCATCCGACAATCAGGTAATGTTGGACTGCGGTTTTTATTTAAGATTTCAATAATACACTTCCTACACTGTTTAATAAACTATGGAGAAATGTGGATTTATATTTTTTGTATTTTCCAGCCTTGGAAAGGTTTGGAGAACATGGGAGGGAAATGTTTATTTCCTTCATTGTCATTATTGCTTCTCTTTAAATAATAATTGTCATTATTACTTCTCTTTTTTTCTCCTTGTCATCCTTCCATAAACACTCAGAGTAAAAGAAAAAAATCTTAAAGGAGAAACATCGCTCCATCACATGATAAATCACAGGTTACTGTAACGTGGCCACGTATCCAAATTCCCTAAGCAATCTCCTTCTTCCATCATCCGCCCAACCAGCTGTCTCCCTTAATTCCAGTGGAAATCTTCCAGGTTTTCCGGAAAATTCATACTTGACTCTTGCATTTATAGTTTAAACATTGGCTAAATGAACTCAGGACTATGGTAATTTGAGTCATTTCAAATATGAAAAATGTACAGCTGTATGGAAGCTGTTCAATCACAGTTTTAAAAAGGTGAGTCCTGTTTTCAGTGAGCATCTGTTTTTTGGTTCAGGGGTGCTTGTGGATTTGGGAAATGAAGATACGTCCACAGCCCACCAGAAATCAGAGAAGTATGTGGTGCGACTAGACGCTGATGTTCACACCAAGATGGAGGCTTTCATGAAGAAAGTGAAGCAAAACCCCTACACCTTGTTTGTCCTCATCCATGACAACTCACATGTCGACCTCACAAGGTGATGAAAAGCTTTATAGTCTTTTATAAATATTTGAAAAACCACTTCTTAGTTTGGAGAGCTGACTGAAAATAAAGCTGTTATGACTGGAAATTCAACCTTGTCCATCTTAAACCCTAAATAAATTAGAGTACAGCTGCAACAAATGAAAACCAATACTTTCTCTTGAAAGCTATTAAACCTAGGCAAGTATTTTTATAGTCTATTTCCATGATTTTAATGTGTGGTAAAGATCTCTGGCACTTGCACTGCATTAGTGTTTGGGGGAATTTGGATACACAACTATTTACAAATTAAATACATTGTAGAACATCTATAATCTGAAGCTAATAACAGCCAGAGGTAAGGTGACATTCAGACGAAATATGAATTCATATGAACTCAGTTCTTGTTGCAAGTTGGAAAAGCAGCAGAAATCATTGTTTTCTTCACTTAATCAACAGGCTGATTACTGTTCAAAATTTAAGCTAAAACAATGCACGTCTCTACAGTACCCATTTAAACATTAAGTAAAATTTTTGCAAAAAGAAGTTTAAATTCTGGACTACTGTTAATTCAACAGTCTTCCCCATAATTGTAGGCCATAACATATCATTTTTGCATTGAGAACATTTCTTGCATCCAGTGGTATTTTCACCATGTTGTTAGAAACATGGGATTATATCACTATCTGTTTTTCAGAATGTTTTTGGACCAAGATATTCAACAAGAATGAAAAACTTTGTGCATGTCCATGGCCCAGATCAGATTTGTTTTTATTAAACTTGTTGCACATTGCAGTAGAAATGTGCAGATTCTGAATTTTCCATGATGCACCTTTATCACCAGTGCCCTGTCAGGCTCTGTGTGTCATGGAGAGCTGCAGGGTCTGGCTGACCGGGTGGTGAACTGTCAGGAAGTCCTGGACGCCATGAACCTCTTGGTTCTGCAGGTCAGCTGCTTCCCTTACACCCTGCAGACCCACCAGTCCCGGATCAGCATCCACAATGAGATTCACTGGCCAGCCAGTGACCATTTGGTGAGTTGTTTACCCTCACAAAACACACTGAAGGAGGAGTATAACAAATAACATTTTACGTTGTGACATTCTGTATTTTTAACTAACCATTTATTTATGTATTCATTTATTTATCATGTAAAACTTTCAGTATCAGTACTTTAAATGTGTGACTTAATCATTTCAAATTGTTATTATTATGCATTGTGGTATAGTTGCTTTCTCAGTTAATCTCTTTATTCAGTATTCTGTTCATGTATCAACATTTTGACATTATTTTTAAGTTATAAGCATTACACATTAAATTAAATAACCAGCTCAAATTATTATCTTTCTTTTCAAAATGTTGGTTTTATCAAAATATGGAAATTATCACTTTCCTTCTGACTAGTGTCCAAAGCTCCTGTATTTGCTGAATTATTAGTGTCATTATTATGATATGGGCTGCACAGAGGCATAGTTGGTAGCCCTGCTGCTTTGCAGTCACAAGGTCCTGGATTCAAATCCTAGCCTAGTCTTTTTACATTAAATATTTTATATTACAAGTATTAACTGACTTTAATTTTGTTTTATGAATTAAATAATGGCCTCATTTAAAGGTAAGATCTTAATTAATGTATTTATTTCAAATATATGTTTTTATCTAGCTCATTAATGAAAAACCCTTTGTTTACAACAACAGAAATGATCACTTTTCCACCTGTGGCTCAACTACTCCACCTGCTGGACTAAAAATATATTCACAGCAAACTGATAAAGGAAATAGGGGATGTTTGTGCTTTGCTTTTTAACTCCACAAAATTGAGATTGAAGTGACTGTTTGAAAAAACAAATGCACAGCTGTACATGGTAAGGAGTTTTCTGGCCATTCACATTTATTTTGTTGTTATGAACATTTTCTTCCAGCAGAGGGAGCAGCCTCCTCATGATTTGGTCTACTTTGGCCTGAGGGACTACAGCTGCTCCCTGCAGTGGGGCGTGGCCAGCCCCATCCTGCGCTGTGATGATGCGTTTGAGAAGATGGTTCATACTCTCTTGGAGAGGTAAGATTGACACCAAGGAATAGTTTATCTTAAAAACCTGAACAATGAATCATTATAATCAGATAAACTCTCCGACACGGCTCCCAGACATCCCCACCTCCATAGCATGGTGATTCGCAGCTACTTGCTGATTCAGCAATACACAGAGGCCATGATGGCCCTGACCTCTTCCCCGTCCCTGAGGGATCACATAACCCCGGAGACCCTCGCCATGGTGGAGGACCTGATAAACGCTCCGAGTCGAGAGGGCTCCCAGGGCCGTGGCCACATGCTGCTGGTACGCGTACCTTCGCTGCAGCTGGCGATGTTGGCCCGAGAGAGACTGGAAGATGTGAGGGACAAGCTGGGACTACAGTTGTGCTTCGCAGTACTGCTGGGAAGTCCAGCGTCTGAACTCAACCTTTCCAGAAACTTCATCAACTTCCTCAGGGTGAGAAAACATCAAATTAGAATCACTGTTTTTCTCTTCATGGCAGCTTGTCTCAGCCAGATACTGCTGATGGTCAATGCAACCCAACACGCATGAGTATATTTTTGACATTTTGAGTTGCTTACTTTAAAAAAGTTTGTTTCGGTTACCTTGAAAATTGGACTATAACTTTTTTTTTTTTCTTTTCCACTTTGTCATGTTGCATAAAACCCAGAGGGGGTTTGGGTTTTGCTTCAGCAAAGTTTTCTCAAGTTTAAGGAAAATGTCAACATTTGTGATAAATTGTAGTTTAAAAATAAACCTCTAAGAACCCAGTAGTTGTGAAAGGTTATAAAATTAAATATTTTCTTCATATTCCTCAGAAAAACTGGACTGGAAATATTAAAAAGCTGTGAATGCTCATGTTTATGTTCTTCCATTTAAATTAATCATTTAGTTTAAAAAAATTGGTGTTTTTTTTCTGCCGCAGACATGGAGAGGCTGTCAGAATGAAGAATGGGTGCCACACACATATGAGGATCTGGAGGGGCTGCCCTGCATCATCATTCTCACAGGGAAAGACCCACTTGGAGAAACCTTCCCCCGGTAATCACACTCTTCACACATAAAGCTGTGAAACATCCCACAGACAGCTGATTTCCACAGTGGCCATGAATCAATGTCATGCAGTTTCTTTTGACTTAAAATAAATAAATTTAATGATTTGGAAAATTGATTTTCATAATTCCGGTTATTTATTTTAGTTTAAAATAATTTTTCAGAACAAACGTCTTGTAGAAAATTAGCAAATAAAATATCTAATCTTCACAATTCTGACCCTCCAGGTCTCTGAAATATACGGACTTGCGTCTGATAGACTCCAGCTACCTGACCCGTACCGCCCTGGAGCAGGAGGTGGGTCTCGCCTGCACATATGTTTCTCTGGATATTGTCCAGGAGTCCAAGACTTCTACGGCTCCTCGGGAATCAGATGGAGAAAAAACCACAGGCAGCCTGAATGACGGGGATGAGCTGGAGAGACCTCAGAGCAATGGCAGCGCTGCAACCAGAACATCTGGTGAGTCTTTGAGAAATTCTGGAATGTCATGCTAAAGACACAAACGCTAACTACATCTGGTGACAGGAAATAAAGTGTGACAAATTTGCCATATTTCAATAAGTTTTGCCCAACTTTTACAAACCATTAGACATTTTAAAGCTCAAAATTTTGTATTTTAGTTTTTATTTTCTGTTTCTCTCTACATCCTCAATAAGGCTCGCTGGCAGAGAATGGAGTCAGTTCATCTGATTTGACTGATTCGTTCCAGAAGCCCTCCACTTCCACCTCCCAACCCGAAGGCCTCGTCACCTCAGATGTGGCCACACTAACCGAAGGATTCAAGCAAGAGTGTGATTCTCTGGGAAGCCAGCTCCCCTCTAACCCTCTGAAAGCCCCCAACGCACCTCCCTCCAATTACTCTAGCTCCTCCTCATCCTCCCCTTCCACCTATTCCTCTTCCACACAGAAGCCCAGCCAGTCCACGCAGTGTGGACGAGCGTCCAAGTGCTCCAGGGTCTCGCCGCGAACAGTCATCCTGTCACGGGCGGCGTACAACCTACTGTCAGGGGAGTCGGGGAGTCAGCTGAGCTCCTTCTCACTTCTGCCTCATGCAGATGTGTCCTGGAGCAGTCCACTGAGGCCACTCATCACACAGAACCTGCAGGGGGCAGACCAGAGCCTGTACTACCGACAGTGGACTGTTGCCAGGCAGCATCACGCTGATTATGAAGCACCACCTGTGCCGCATCCACGACGCCTGCTGCTCAGCGGACCTCCACAAGTAAAATAAACACACGCATGTTCCTTTCAAAGAGATTTTGTGGAAATGTCTGATTCATTTCATAATTTGTTTTTATTTTATTGAAGAAATTATGAAGTGCCTTGTAATAATGATTATTACAAAAGTTGTAATAGTCATTGAAGATTTAGGCATTTTGTCACATTTTAGTCACAATTTATTTTGTTAGTTTATTTATTAGTTGACTTCTGAATCCAGTTTGTTACCAAATTTCATAACACAATGCAGATTTTTATCTGTAAAAAAAATGGAAAGCCATGGATACTTTTCATCTGACTTCATAGCTGTGCATATATGTGTATTCCTGCACATATACACTTTGCTGGCTTAGTATTTAAAAACCCAATGACATACACAGACATGATGTGAAAAGTTCAAGGTCTATGAATGCTTCTGCAAGGTACTATCTCTGGGGCCTATCTTGTAAACGAAAAAAATGTACCAATATTATCTTTAAATGCAAATGCAAATGCTTGCAAATTGTTACATATTCACTTAGACATATGAGAGTTATTACACAATTCCATATATTGTTTTCTTTTCCTTTGTCAGGTGGGAAAAACTGGTGCTTACTTGCAGTTTTTACGCATCCTGTTTCGTATGCTTATTAGACTGCTTGAGGTTGATGTCTATGATGATGAAGAAGATGAAGAGGCAGGTGAGAATCACTAGGGCTTTTGTATTTCTTCTCATCATTTTTTTTCCCTTCAAAAATGGTGGGAAAAATGGCAACAACTACATGTTAATGGTTTCTAACTGTCATTCAGAAGGCATATAGTTTTCATTTATTTGTTATTTGGTGAATAATGCCAAGTTTTAAAAGACCACCAACATCCTGAATCTGGAATTAAAATATATTTTTTAAATTTAGAAATATGTAAAAAATATATTAAAAAAAAGAAAAAGAAAAAAAAAGTGTAATCAATGGCAAAAGGAAAACATTGGTCATTTATGATACTCAAACATCAAATGACAGTCAGAAGCTACAGATTGTCCACTAATTTGTCCAGGGGATGTTATTTTTCTGAAAGATGTTGTTCTCAGGTGATGGATGCACTTAGATATTGACTGTACTGACAAGTTTGATGTCCAGTATCAACAAGGACTCAAAGATATTTTGGCATAAATCGCATTAAGATAACTGATGTTCAACTTTGAACCTCTTGTTAGTGGTTTAAAGCTGCTGAACAGAGATTTAGCGACCAGATTTTTGTGAACACTTTCTTGATCGTAGGGCTTTGTCCTCTTACCGATTTTAGTCAATTACAGTTTCTCTATAGTAAGTATGATGTTAGAAAATGTATATCTATCATGTTCGATTACAAACTGAGTTTGAAAGCTCAAACATATATTCCACAGGCTCCCACCATGCTGTTGAGTATCACTAACAAATGTTTTTCCCACTTTTACCTTGCAGAAACTACAGATGCTACGACTCCAGCAAACACACAGTGGCCCGACATTGAAGACATCCGAAAGCTGCCCTTTGACCCCAATCCCAGAGATCCTAAATTCAGGAAGGCCAGCCCGGTTTACTCTGATAGGATGCCAAAGTTATTTAAAGGTCAGGAATCATACTGAAAGAGTTAAAATCTTTCATTTGAAAAGTGTTTGCAATGTGAGTGCTATACCTAAAACACATGCAATGTAATTTGTTAGCAGAGTTTAAAAAAGAAGGAGAGAACCAAACACAAGGCAAGAGAGTGACCAAGTCAATACGTCTAAGCCGTTTTGCTGCCCATAATGCCTTTCACCACTGTGAGCAGTGTCATCAGTACTGTGAGGCAGTTCCTACGACACAAGTGAGCTACATACAGATTCCTTCAAACTTTTGTGATTGATAGACATCTTCTAAAATCTTCTATCTACAAATAATACATTTGTGTGTTATAGCTGTCAGAGTGCTCCTTACATGCTTTTACCTTCTGCTCATCCATGCTGGGAGAGGAGGTCCAGCTCCAGTTTTTCATTCCTAAAGCCAAGGAGCAGCATTTTGTTTTCAGTCATCAGGGGAGCCATCTGGAAAGTTTACGACTACCTCTCGTCTCCACAAAGGTTCGATAATCCGTCTCTAGCTAGTAGATGAATAAAAGAAGTTCACTAAACAAATATATCATCAGCATAATGTGTGATCAAACAAGGTCTTATGTGGGGAGAAATGGTTATACCATACTCATTTGTCTTTATGCTTCTGCACAGGACCCTGATCTTTTGAAGAGTCCAATCTTCACTCCAACAACAGGACGCCAAGAGCACGGGCTGCTCAACCTCTTCCACGCCATGGAGGGCGCCACTCATCTGCACATCCTGGTGGTCAAACAGTTTGAGATGCCCCACTACAGGAAGTACTGGCCCAATCATATCCTGCTCGTCCTACCAGCAATGTTCAACAGTGCTGGAGTTGGTGAGTGGCTTACTGTCTTAACAAGTCCAGTAAACTCATAGTCATGTCCTTTTTAACTAATCTTCCTCAGTACTACTTTTTAGGGGGGCATTTATAGCATTACTGTTGATTTTGTTGAGAAATAATTTTTTTTAGCATGAGGTTACATTCTTCTGAAATTCTCAGAGTGCTGCTTCAACAAAATAATCTTGCTTTACTACATTGTATGTATCTTTACCAATAAATGTGGAGTGTGCTGTAAAATTACAGGCTATAAAGCCGCAGATATGGACGCATATCTTTAATCACCACTGAATCTTTTAAATAGTCAAATTAAAGAACAAAGAGAAAAATTATTAAGATAAAATTTAATAATACAACATGTGTGCATTACATACATGCAATACAGATATATGTATATTTATGTATATATGAATGTGACGTGTAGGTTTCTCAACCTTTTTGTTTACATCCCATCATGCGGATAATAACTGCAGCATTTAGGCCAGTGTGGTGATTGGCTATTACACTTGTGATTTACAGCATGTTTTGTGAAAATGAAAGGTAAAAGCTTCTATTTGTCAATCTGAGGAAGTCGCCCTGTATGATAACATCAACAGAAAGAGGTGCAGCAAAGCTAAGCTGCAACCTGACAGATCACAGCTGTCACCTTGACCTCTAAAGCGTGGCCCCCTGCCAGTGTTCTCATTCAGGACATGCTGTTTGTGCTGTATAACCGTGCAACGTAAACTGTGTTCTGTACCATAAAAACTGTGACTTTCTGCTTTTTATTGAACTACAATAGTTCACATTTTATGTATAATGTATACCTATACCGTGCAATTTGAGGACAGCATGGGTATACTCATTAGCATCAATTTGCTAAGGCTGAAGGACCGACTGGATGTTGTACTTTTAAGGAAATATGAATGACACACAAAGTAATAGGCTCCTGTCTGTTTAAGGTGCTGCTCGCTTCATGATCAAAGAGCTGTCATACCATAACCTAGAGCTGGAGAGGAACCGCCTGGAGGAGCAAGGTGTAAAGAGACAAGATGTATGGCCTTTCATCGTTATGATGGACGACTCATGTGTGCTGTGGAACACCTTCCAGCCGACAGATGGCAGGTAGAACAGAGTTGGAATAACCTTGTTTTCCCCCCAAAATTAGGAGACAATCTCTGAAATGAAAAGATAAACTAAACAAATCATGTACAATTTACTGTGGGAGTTTATAAATTTAACAAATTGGTAATTATTATTTTTGTGGTTATACTGCCTATCTTGGCTAGATTTCAGTACTGAGAACTCCTCAGTACTACCTGTCTGGGACAAACTAGACTTTATAAACTAAACACCCCTAGAAAAACTATTCAAATTGATGACGTATGGTGGTTATGTTAGTTATCTTTTGTCAATCCTATTTTCATTTTACCCAAATAGCTACACACTTTGCATTTTTTTCACATTGCACTCAGCATTGTGTTATTAGAAGCTTAAACTTTGCATTGTTATGGTAATTACAGACCTGCTAAAGTTGAAACCTTTCTTCCTTTCGTTTGTTTCCTCAGTGAAACTTCAGATGGAAGCTCAGGCATCACCAATGTGTCTTTGAAAACAGTGCTGCAGCACATGGAAAACACACCCAAAATCTCCCTGTATGCTATCTGCGGTGTTCGTAAGTGGAGCAGCAGCTTGGCCCACAAGACTCCCCAAGACCCCTTCAGTCGGTGTCACCTCCACGACCTTGTCCTCCTTAATGTGGACCTGACACAGAACGTTCAATATGACCTCAATCGGTAAGTTCGCGTCAGCGTTTTAGTTGTTAATAACATTTGCAGAGATTTTGATTATTGGTCACCGCTGTCGTGTGCAGGTACGATTGTGAGGAGGTGGACTTTAATCTGAGGGTGAACAGCAGCGGGTTGCTTATATGCCGCTTTAACAACTTTTTCCTGATGAAAAAACACATTCCAGTTGGGGGAAAAAAAGATTTTGTTGTTAAACCGAAGCTTGTGGTGGGTATCTCGTTTGTATTTTGACAGTTCATTGAGGCCAACGAGATCAAATAATGTAAGTTTTCTTTTTTTTTCTCCACAAAGCACAACCTCACCCTGTCGAGCCTACTTTTGTCTCCTCAGGAAATCGAAAACAAGGCTCCGATCAGCCCGTCTCAGTACGTTTGTGCCCCAGACAGCGAGCAGACCCTATTAGACGCACCGGCTCAGTTCCTGCTGGAAAACTTCCTGCAGAGCTGCAGCCACAGACTGTTTCCGAAAGCTGTTCAGAACAGAAACAACCCAGTTCTGTCCATCGATAGTTACCTTAACCTCAGCCCAAAGGTAAGATCTCCCAGGAGATTCAGCTGACCTCTTCAGCTACATGTACAAGATTTAAACAGCGAGGAGTTCTTATACCTGTGTTCTAAATCTGAAAATTTCATTCTGTAGAATATCTTTAAACAAGAAGTTTTTGCTGGGTTGCTTTTCAAAGAACATTCTGACCTGCTTACAAGCACATATGCAGGCAGCGAATGCTAACAAGGCAACTTCTGTGTATGAGATCATATTTGTGACTTTGCACAACCTCAGCGCAAACAGTTTGCTTATGTAAACATTTCTTTTTTTTTTTTCTTTATTCCACTCAATATGCACAGTTGTTTGTTCTGATGAACCCAGAAACTTCCTGACACAAGTTTCAGAAAGTTTCTAGGCAATATAAACCACCTCACGTTTACGTTATTTTACTCTCGCAGCAGTGATGATGTATCTTACATTCTTATTTCAGATTTCTGTGTGCTACATCAACTCTCGCCCACACTCCACCAATCTCAACCATCAGGGTCTGGTGTTCAGTGGCCTGCTACTTTACCTTTGTGACTCCTTTGTTGTTTCCGGGCTCCTCAAGAACTTCCGCTTCCTGAAAGGTGACAGGTCTCCATATTTGCAGATTGAAATTTTAACTCACTTTGTGGAATTACGACTGCATACTTCAATGTATTGGATTTATTTATGGTAATAATACAAAATAGTGCATAAATATTAAGTGGAAGTACTAGCATATGAGGTTTTGGTTTTACAAATAAACTTCTAGTGTGGTGTGTATATTTATGACAGCTTGGTCCCAGAAAAAAGAGGCTACAAATTGACACCATCCGTTTCATATTTTTAAATATAAAAATACTTAATTTTTTTATTTAAAATATTTTGACCACCAGGTATCATTTTAAGTGTACTACAGCAATTCTTACAAACCACACACTCTTACAAGTGTGTGGTTGTAACATGGAAATATGCACAAAAAGCAGTGTGAATATTTTCCAGAGCCACTGGGATAACCTTGATTCTGCCCTCAGGCGCCACCCTCTGTGTGATCTGCCAGGACAGAAGTTCCCTGCGTCAGACCATCGTCCGGCTGGAGCTGGAGGACGAGTGGCAGTTTCGTTTGCGGGACGAGTTTCAGACGGCCAACTGTAGCGAGGATCGGCCCCTCTACTTCCTGACCGGCCGCCATGTTTGAACCCACAATTGTTCTGTAGCTGCGCAGCTGGAGAATCTCGGTCAGTTAGGAGTACTTTTGGATCTCCTCTGCAGCAGTTAATTTCATGCCTCCACTTGAGCTTGTTTTTATCGAAAGGAAAACTGCCTCCAGGTTATAAGAAGCACAGCTCAATTGAAGCGTTGCTTGTTTTCTTGAGGCAAATGTGGATCCGATACAGGACTAATGGAGGATTCATTTGTCCATGAACTTTAAATCCAGTAGGTCCAAGTCTGGACATACGTTTTTATCTCAGGGTTTCAAATTGAGGGAGATTTAAGGGATTTAAGGCGTTACGTTTTCTTCTCCCTGCTTATTAGCTTAAGTTGGCACCAAAGACTCAGCTGCACCTTGCCTTCTCCATTTTCTTTCCAGTTCAGCCTTTGAAACTCCAAGAAGCTCATTAACGCTTCATAGCTAAGTGATATCACAACAGAGGCTGCGACACAAGCAATTTCCAATATTATTAGCAACCGATGTTTTTTTTTTTACCAATGGGATTTGACTAATAACCAACTATTAATCTAGCAGATTGTTGGGGGTTTTTTTCTACTGTGCCTCTAAAACATGAATGTGGCATCGATAATCTTTCCAAGAAGAAGCCGTGAGTGCTGTCATACTTTCCAAATGACTTAATTTTTGTTGTCACAGATAAGGGAGTTTACAAGCTATGACTTTTAAAGAATGTAAAAAAGTCTATCTGCTATTTGAAATCCATATTATTAATGTGTAATGCCAATCAGAAAGATCAGCCCATGTGTTAGAGAAAATAATTTGCATTTAGACATTTGCTGACTCAAATTCTGAACGTCAGAGAAATTAAATGTCATAATCAGGCTCTGTCACTGCCTTTTGCCTTGCTTCTAACTGTGCCTAGGACTGCTCCTGTAATGATGTTTAGAGGCAGTTAGCTTCTTCGCTGTTTGCTTAAACTAATGTCCCACAGTTGATAGGAAGGGTAATCAAAGGAAGAATGAGGTGACACACTGTTAAAAAAAAAAAAAGCATACTTGAAAAGTGTTTTTGTGCATTTCTCCACAGGGTTGTCATAAGAATATGCCTTAATTGTTTTACACAGCCACAAATAATCTGTCATAATGACCAATCAGAATGAAGAAAGAAAATACAAGTCAAAGAAATGTTTGAAAGTAAGAAGGAATAATTAGAATTTGAACTACTGTACTGTTGAAATCTTTGTTTACATTATTAATATATTATGTCATCCCTTTACCCACTGACAGTTCATGGTTTTATGTTGCCGCCTTGTGATACTCTTGCCAGTGTATTTTGGTTGTGTCTTTCTGCATTTTTTTGTTGCAAAAAAGCTAGAAGAAATCTACCTAGATATATCTATGAAAATATGTTTGTATCCCTTTGTGTCCATGTGTTAAATTTTCATCAACAAATGGAAATCAGGTCCATGGAGGAGTTTTTTTTTCCCCCTTTATTTATTTGACAAGTATTTTGGACTGATAATCATGTTCAAGTGAGATATTTGATTGCATTCTGAGGCGGGGGCACTTCCCTCTTTAAAAACATCTGTGAAGGTTTTGCACAGGAACCCAAATGGATGTTGTTTTAGATATACTGAATGTTATCGGAGGGAAGGAGATGTGAACTTGCACTATTCAAGTTTCTAGTTGAATAATATACAGCAAACAACAGCTCCCTCAGAAATATTCCACGCATAAGACTCGGTCCATAGCATTATTTTTTTTGTTTTCTTTCGTTCTTTTTCTTTCTTTTTTAAATAATTTAATACTTAATATGCAACTTGCTCTCACAATCTTTGCTGAAATATGTCTCGGTGTCTCATGCAGCTCAGTGGTAGCCTTGGTGCCTGGTTGATCTACCTCATATTTACCATTGTGATTGCTGGCTGTGAATAACATAACAGTAGAGTCCCATTGTTGTTGAAAATTCTGAATGTAATAAAAATGACTTCTGAGTTTTCCTTTTGCTATTACTTGACTTTTCTCATGAATTCTACTCTAGTAAAATAAACTTAAGATTTACAAAATTAAATTAGTTGTCTGTGTAACAATGCATATATTTGGATCAAATTTGGTCTAAAAGAACAAATTTCAAAATATTCTTAATTAAATAAGATTGGGTTTAACTAATCAATTGGCTTATTTTACTCATCTGTTATCCTTCCATGTCAAAAATATTAAATTTGTCTTCAAAATAAAACACTACTCAAATATTATTTTTTAGTCTGATCTGCCATGATAATATTTAAGCATCTTAGCTGTCAACCTGAGCTAAAATATTCTGTTTATTGTCAATGACTTGCTAGCAAGTTTAGCATTAAAACAGTTCAAACAGGATAAGGGAGAACCTTGACACTTGCAAACTGCGTTTTCCCTGAAACCCAAAATGTCTGAATAATGCAAGTTCTGAAGGTCTGAACTGTGCAAAGTAGCAGAAATATTAAAAGATTCAAAATTTGGGAACCAATCTGTGAAAGGGATTGAAGTGTAAAAGTGTTGGTAAAGTTCATTTTAGAATCCAAGTTTAGTTTGCATTTAAAAAATGTACACCTATGAAACTCTTTCTCCTGCTTTTCTTTCCTCAACACATCTCCAGATAAACTGTCTCCATGCACAATAACCCCACTAATCAATCATACATAGGAGAAATGGCCTCTTAATGAACGCTGGAATCTTCTCTTGGAGTGCTGCAAGGGCACAGGGGCAATGCCGGTCCAGGGACAGTACTATTTCAGCTCCTGTGAGATAATATTAGAGCACATTCCATCTACCTCCAGCTCCAGTGTGATATGACACATGACTATTTTGAGCCAGCACCTGACAGATTAGGATGACAAAGACACACCAGTAATAAGAGCCTTGCACTTTAATGTCTGCTCATTTTATATTGCGCTTATAAGACAAATCGACAAAAAGCGGTTGATTCCAAGAGTTGTTAGATTTCTGATGCTTCTTAAATAGTAAGAAAGGGAGAACCTTGATACTTGCAAAGTATCAAAAAGTTTTACAATTATATGCTAAGAGCATGTATTAAATGTGCAAGTATTTTTATTTTATTAATGATGTTCAACATTTTTTCCTAAACTACTTTACTGTATAGTAAATAATCACCCTCCAGTCTTGTTCCTCGTTCTAATAGTTTCACTTAAGCAAACATAAGCTGTTTTGTGTCACATTTAAGAATTACTTTGTGTTACCAAAGAACAAACAAAACAAAGAGCCAAGAACTGAGTACACATCCCAGAGGGACTCCTGTGCCTAGTTTGATGTAGCACAATATTTTCCAACTATTAAGTCTTTCTGACATAAGGTTCAAAATGCATTGACAGAATAAGGTAATCCAATCAAAGATTCAACATAAGCTTCTGTAGGATGATCATGAATCATGAAGAAAGTGGGTTTTTCACAGAAAGCAGAACAAATATTATTGTATTAACTGGTTGAAGAAGCAAGGAGCCTGCAGGAGGTTCTACCTGCGGGCTGAATTTAGTTTAATTCAGCCTGAATTATATGGGTGGCTGAATTTAATGGGTCTAATGATTAGTTGTTCATAGCATTGCATTTGAACAGAGTGCGACACCATCAGTCAATAATCAAAACACAGCTATACAAATAAGATTTTTTTTTCACCCTCAGAGTAAAACAAATTCACTCAAGTCAATTCAACCAAATGCTTCCCTACACCATACAGCTGAAAAACAAATTCTGTCAGTGGACTTATTGGGGGATTGCACTTTAGGTAAGTGGAGTACTGCAGGATTACAGTTAGCCTTTTGTGGAAAACATCCACCGCTGCAGTGATGCATATCCTATCAGCTGCTAAGCCAGCCAGCGTGGACTGAGTCAATTCCAGAGACCAAAAGCTAATGTTGTGATGCGAGACCCTGCAGTCGCACACTGATGCTGCAGTAAAGCCACTCCAATGGTAGACTGTCAAATGCCTTGCTCTCAGTATCAGTTTGAGATGGCCTATTTGAAAAAGAGAGGAAATTTGTAACTTTGTAATTGTGAATGATGCATGGATATTGTTTATATTCCACCACAGAAAGATTCCCACTCATATTGCAGAGAAAACACTTTCAGCAATCAAAAGCACAGGAAGCAGGAGGCAAATCGACCTAGACTTTGTTTAATAATTCAATAAATACAGCATAATACACTAATGATGATCATGTCGATACAGTAGTACTTATGCTATAGGCAGATTTTATATTTAAAATCTTATTGCTGCACAGTTTAAACAAGTGTTTTCTTGATGTCTGTTGTGTGCCGTACAAAATCAAATGCAGCATAAATGAAAAAGAAAAAAACAAACTTGCCTTCAATGCTACAGTTACAGGACGTGATGATGAAGAAACACGTGCTAATTTTGCCAAACAACTGAAGAGTAAAATTCAACTGGAATTTTGTAGTCAATTTGTTTTCATGCATTTTCTTACTGAAATTCTGGCCTCTAGTCATAATTGTTCAGTTCCCCCATGCCAACTCATTAATGGCAGCCAGTCCGTTGATCATTGTTGGCAAAGTGGGGCAAAAATGACTGGAAACAATACAAGCTACACATGCTGTAAAGCAGCAAACACCACTTCAGACAGCCAATGTGAAAACCACATCCTCACATTTTACTTCATTTAACTCAGGCTGTATAAAGCGTCCGTAGAGTCACAGAAATAACCATTTTCACAAAATAAACTTCATGGCATTCGCACTCTGCTCTGTTGAGCCTTTAGGATTTTCACTGTCATGGCTCTGATGAAATAAGTGCCTTACGTTAGACAGTTAGAGGCATGATAGTACCAACTAAATACTGCAACTTTACATTCCGCATCATGGATCAAATTTTCTCCATATTCTCCATTTGTAAAACTATTTGGTGTGCGTGAAACTAAAAAAACTTGAAATAAAAGTGCATGTAGAATATCCACAGATGAAACAAAATCACATCAGTAGATTGTCATTGTCAGAGGTACACTGCATGTTTTTTTTTTTTTAAATGTGAAGCTACAGCCAGCTGTCAATTAGCCTGCAAACTGAAAGCAAAGGGTTAACTCTCCTTGGTCTCTTTGGGTTTAAACATGTGTCTTTTATCATAATCTTTACAGAAAACGTGTAACAGAACCTAAAAAACAAACAAACAAAAAAAGGAACGGAATAGAAAGATCAAGGTACAGAAATGGCTCCAAAATTGTATCAATTAAAAACATTTTTAGCTTTTGGACTTTTTCCAGAACAATCTGTACCCTTCAGTTTATATATAGTTCTAATATGCCAAAATATTAAGAAAAAACCCCACAAAGAAATGAATGTGCATGGACCGAGATAAAACAGGTGGAGTCACAGGATATATTTAGAAAAACAATTTTTTTAAAATTTATTTTAACTCTCATAAAAAAAAAAAAACTGTTTTTTTTCTGAACTAACGTTGATGCTTTCAGTCCTCATAGCTAAATGTCTCCCAACAGCAACTTCACATTTAATAGGACATGGAATCAACTTTCTGACCTCTCTGAAAGAAAGCACACAAGCATAATACACGCCTCCAGTTAGAACTCAAAAGAAACAACATTATGTTCTGTTAACAGCTAATTAACATCTACTTTTAAAAGGTGGAGTACGATGCAAAACAAAGGAGAACATGTTGATAAAAATGACATTTCACAAGAAACGGTTGGAATGAGACAGAAAAATAAATAAAATCCCTGAGGGCTACAATCCTACTGATGTAAGTGCTAAAAACTACGTAAGGTTACATAAGTGAAACAGTACTAGAGTTAACTTGATGGGCAAAAAAATAAATAGCACAGGGTTACCACCATATTCTTAGGTTGAGCAATATAAGAAATATTAAATCTTTTCAGCACTGACATGAGCAGCTACGCCTAAAAATGATCTGAATGTCAAATGCAGCAGAAGTACTGCATTTAATAATATGCCCTTTAAATAAGAAAAAATTATGTTGTTTTTTTTTTTTTTTGCTTGTGGCAGTGGGAGGAATAGAACAAATCAATGTAAGGCAAAGATAGCATCAAGACAAGGCAAGGAAGCATACAAAAATAAAGATGAATAACATTTGGTGTTAAGGAAGGAAGGAATTATAGAGAGCTGGGAATGAACAATAAAAAGGGTGAAAATGGAAGAAGAAAACGATGGAACGTAGTGGAAAAAACATGGAGGACAATGATAAAACGAGAGGACCACTCTAAATTGTCTTATCAGGAGAGGTCTTTAAGTCGGCCGCCTTCTTCAATGACGGCCTTTGCGAACTGCTTGAAGACTCGGTCCATATAAGTGCTCTGTCGTGGCCACAGACCCTCCAGGAAGCCAATGTGGCCTCCATGGCAGGTTATAAGCAAGGCCAAGTTAGGGTTCTGCTTCACTGCATCCACTGGAATGGCTGCAAACAGTTACAATGGATTCAATTCCCTCTTTTCTGTGGTTCCACATGATGTGATTCTACCAGTTTCAGTTCATGTGAGTCTGATTAACACAATTGCCATTGTTGGGATGTTGGGTAATGCTACCATCAGGTGCATATCACACCTACACCAACCCATATCTATTTATGTGTAATCGCGCAATCAACTATTGTAGCTCACCGTGTGATGGAGAAAAGACGTCATCAGCAGCGTTCAGACACAGCATTGGCACCTGCACAGATTTCAGCTTGTGCACAGGACTGGCATCGCGGTAGTAGTCGTCGTTAGTAGGATATCCGAACATGATGGAGGTGAACCTCTCATCAAACTCTCGGATAGTCTTTGCCTGTACAAAGCCAGTAAAACTACTCAGTTTGGCCTTTGTTTCAGAAATGGCTCCAAATGATTTAACATGACAGACATGGTCCTACCTTCATGACATGGTCAATGTCGTAGCACTTTTCAAGCACCGGTCTGTGTCTGCAGGGAGGAACATCAGTCATACTGTCACTACCTCCACCGAGCTAATACCAGTTTTATCTAAAAGTTACAAAATGATTCTAAGTTCATTTTACACCAAAGACAAGATTAAATGGGTTTATTTCATAGAAAAATGGCAAAAAGTCTGATAATTGTTTAAGATATTTTTTATTCCTTCATGTTGAAACATGTTAAAATTGGGAAAACAAAGACAAAATCTCTCCAATTAAATTTGTGAACATAAATGTAAGAGGACTAAGCAGGGAGTTTATGGAGCAAAAAACCGTCAACACTGTCAGAAATTTGTGATAAAAATTCAGAAGTGGAATAGAAAGGATGTCTGTGGAGACATTTCTGACATGTTGGGAGTCACCGTTTTTCCTTTGCCTTAGCTGTTCTTACTTTGACTGAACCAACCTTGCTTCTGTCGATCTTCAGACCAGTTAGATCTTCTTCTTCTTAATGGCAGTTGGCAATAAACATTTAAATGCATTACCGCCACCTACTGGAGGTCCATTTTCTCATCTGCATCCTGTTAGTAATTAGCCACCTGTTCATTGTTAATAATCAAGCTTCTCTGTTTTAAAAGCTCCACTCACTCATCTACCTGGTCACCATTTGTCCCTGCTCCCGGTGTCCTTCTTGTTACTTTAAGTAATTTTTTGTTGAATAATTTTTTCCCCCATGAACCTATTTACCATCTACTCACTCTAATCACAACAATGCCACAATTATGGCTGTAAATGATTTGCAGGGTCAGTTAATGTTTTTCAGAGGTTAGTATAATATGTAATATTTTTTATACAGCCAAACATTTGAAAATGCTTGTTTGTGAGAGTATTTTGGGAGCAGCATTTCTGCAGCGTGTTAATGGCTTGTGTTAATCCTGCTCTGGCCCCGACTGACCTGTGCACAGAAGCTTGTAGGCAGCTGGTGAGGTAGGAGTTGAAGAGGAAACGGTCTAGGGGTTTTTCCAGTGATGCGGTGCACTCAAACACATCCCAGCCTGCTGAGAAGACTATGACCCCTTTCAGGCAGGTTTTCCGGCCCTTACGACCCAAATAGTTGGCCAGCATCATCCTGGATGTAGAAAGAGTGAGATCTGAAGGAAAACAGGGATTCTATTTCAAACCAATCCCTCAATTTATGGGATTAGTGATTAGCATTGCCACGCAGCACTAAACACTGAGACAAACAATTTAAAGCACTAAAGTGTCCAAAAATCATCACTGGAACAGTTTTTTCCTTTCTACCAGTGTTTAAATGTTTTTTTACCCTCCCATGGATACACCAGCAGCCATCATTGGAGCCACTTCATAGGTTTTCTGGATGTGATCAATAACAGTCTCCAGATCTTCTGTGTTAGCAGCGCAGTAGGTCCTCGGGGTCTGGAATGGACAGAAAGGTGACCGAGTCAAAGGTCTGCTTCTCCATCTGCAGGACAAACATTCCAGAGATCTAAGAAAAACGATCTAAGGAAGAAGGATCCAAAACAAAAGGCAATATTCTGATAAACCTGGTAAGAGGCTGTAAAAGACTTTAAATTGGAGCAGAATTTTCTATTTAGGCAGGGCAAAGACCCCAGACATACAGCCACAGATACAAGATATATATTTCCAGAAAGGAATGGGCATAAAATTTGCTCTCTCGTTGTGAATGGGGCTGGTAGAAAGACTTATAGTTGTGACTGCAGCTAAGTGTGGTTCTACAAAGTACTGATTCATGTACTTGTAGAACATGAGTCTACAAGTACATGATCTTTTTGGACTTTTCTTTCATCGGGCAAGTAGAGCAATACCAACACAACAGAATATTTTACTATTGAACACTTTAGTGTTTTATAGCTGTTGGACCTGCTCTTCTCTCATTAGAGCTATGAAGTAGATAAGGGATATATTTTTAAGAGCTGCTCCAGTTCTTTCATTTCTTGTTTGTTACTCAAATAATCACTGACTGCCGTCAGCTTCAATTGCTCCATTAATATAGCTAACAGTCATGTCATGCTGAACTTGATGGCTGCTGGCAAGTTGCACGCGCTCCAAGCCACAGCTTTAACAAATGCTCAAGTCTGATTAGAATCTCAGCAGCTTTCCTCGTTTGAAAACATCACATAACAAGCTCTGTTTTCAAACAGCATCAACTGAGATGAGAAAAAAAAAAATCCAGACTCGTCAGTTGCAAGTACAAGCACTTTTCCTTAGCTGTGCATGAATATGTTACACTGGAGATTCACTATGAGGACTCAGGGGCAGAGAAACAGCTAGTTTAATATTTATCCTACGAAAATACATTTGTGTCTCTCAATTTTTAATATGAAAGGAACTATAAAAAAAAAAACCTGGAGTTTTTAAGCTTTGCCAGCACAGAAATGTGCTGGCAAAGCTTAAAACTCCAGGTTTTTTTTCCTTTAGCCTTTCAAATTTTGCTTGTTGCATGTCCAGTTCTTTTTGCTGATTAAGTCCTCAAGGGAAATATATAGCAGAGAATTTACTAAACTAAAATATGTGAAGATCTGTGTAGAAATTTCCTCATGTTTATGTTTTTCTCAGCATGTGACACATCTCAAAGCAGACCCAAAACAGAAAGCTGATTTTCCACTATGTATAAGTAAGCAGATTATATGTTTTAGCTCTTACATCTCTTATTTATAATGACTTTTATGAATGACTTTTATCACCAATATTAACAAATTTCAGCCATTATCATTTAGTTGAAAGCTACATAAGAATAACTGTGTCCTCTGAAAAAAAGTAGTTCAGCCCCCCAAACAGTGCTATCAGTGAGAGCTGGTTACTTAATATTTAAAACCAGCCAGTTGGCTGATGGTGTCCATTTAACAAGGACACTTTCTCAGGATGCTGTTCAGCTTTTAAAGGCCTCCGCAATTAGAATTCAAGGAGAGACCTGTGGCTTTTCCTCCACTACTATTTTTCTTCTTAACTCTTAAAATGATTAGGAACTGATAAAATAACTCATCAAGAACAATCGAATACATGCAGTATAGTTCCTTTCAAGCAGTCAGTGGCAGGAGAGCAATAAATTCAAATGACATCTACCAAATCTGATAAGAAGTATACTCAAATATCCGGCCAGAGTTAATTGAAATATTAAAATACTATAAATACAATTTTAAAATTTACTGCAACTTTAAGGACAATCTAAATATAACAACTAAATACTTAATGCAACCGTATAATCTTTAGCACCATACAATCCTTTATAAAATGGGTATTTGTGGAAGGAAAATCCTGAACACAGTGAGTCATTCAGAACTACTGGCCATATCAAACAATAGGGAGCTTTCATTGTGACTGTACACACTCACAGCTGGACCAAGACTATTTCAATTCCATAGTCTTTAGCACAAATACCAACTGAAGCAAAGGAGAACATTCCTCCTTTCCCACTACTTGATCCAGTTCCAAGGTAACAGGGTCCAACTCCTTTTTTGTGTATAAATACAGCTGAGTCAACAACATTCTAGACAAACTGCAGTACAACAGTTTGAGCCACAGCACATCAACCTCTATGACACTGGGTCCATTATTTGATTATTTTTCCAATGTCTGAATCCTGAAAGCGAATTAAAAAATACAATCAAGCAGAACCATAAAAATCCTATCAGCTGATTCTGATTTATGACCACAAAGAGCAATCTTTGACCCTCTGTAGGTAATATAAATACAACTGAGGTTTAGCTGGGAACCCAGTCCAGTTGCAATTTGACAAGATCACCAAGATGTCGCCACTCTACTGCAAGAATTTGCACACGAACAGTTAATGTGCTATCCAACTCAGGCTTTGTTTTGTCGGCTAAATATATCTTCAGTGTAAAAGTTCAGATGAAGCCAGGTGTCAGAGTGCTCAGCGCTGCTATTTTTCTAAGGATCTTCATTAAAATAAAGTAAGTCTCTTCATCCCTGCTGTGAAACTGTGCTGTCTGTGCTCAGCATTTGCAGTCTTCCTGTGAACTCTCTTACATCTAGAGACACTGACACAGAAAACTAAACCACACCAGTTTCACCATAATGCCCTGTAATGCATCTGCATTATGGGTAATAAGCCAAGGAAGTAAAAAATTGCTTTAATTCTGAATGAGATGTTGAAAATCAAAACACCTCATGACCTCTTACCAGCAGTGTTTCACCAGAAACCCCTCTGTTGTTGAATACCACACATCTGTAATACAAAGAGAAAAACAAGAAATAGCTTCATGAATCTTTGTGGTTTCAGCTTCCTCATAAATTGTACATGATCAGACTATCATAAATGTTATCAATATACAAATGAACTCATCTTTATTTACTCAGTAAATTCAAACATTTCATTATAGAGCTAGCAGCTCCGGTAGCATGTCTAAACATAAATGGTTTTTTATTGAGAAGTGTTGACCATGAGATGTCACTCTTTGATAAAATTCTCTAACATTGAACTTTATTGACAACTTTATTGTCACATCTCCTATGTTTCTCCCTGAGGTGTGTGGTTGGAGAATAAATTCTGGTCTTTGTCCAGCACCTAATTTGTCACAATTACAGTTGTTTTAACCATTGTAACACTGCTCAGGGTTTATATATGAGCTTGCTCAGATGAGTTGCTATATTCTTACAGACATGTCCTGACTTATGAGGGTCAACGCCTATTTTGTTATTACTTAAAACTGCATGTTCTCTTGTCTTTCCCCCTTTGAAGAATTTGCAAAAGACAATTTTGGCAAGAACTGTGTAAAAAGAGATTGGAAGTTCTAAAGTATTTCTTCCTAGGTTATAGAATTAGAATTTATAGACATTAACCACGTTTGCATCTCTTTATAATGGGAAAAACCATCAACTTTTAAAAGGAAAGCATCATTTGAATCAATTATTTTATAGAAATAAAATAAAAATCCATTCTGAATATGATGAGCTCAGACAAAGGGTCCAGCTGTGCAAAAAAGCATGTACTACAAATTAAAACATTAGCATCTCTCCTCCCTACATTTCCCTAGTCAAATATCATGCGTCAGAGTCAGCCCTGCTGTTTTTCAACAGTGTAAGTCAGCAGCATTTGTGAAGCTACACAGCACGTTGGGAAGGAGGAGGCGGGGCAGCGACGGAGGGGCGCTTAAACACACTCTGCAGCACAGACACGGAAGCTGGCCGGAGCTAAGCTGCAAAGCTTGTACAGGGATAAGCTGTAATTAATTAAGCTACACGGACAACCGTGAGGGGTAGAAGATGCTGAGTGCGCCGGCTCTCTTCCTCCATGTCATCCCAAAGCCAGTGAAAGAATGAGTGCAGGGAACACAGAGACAAGCTGTTGGAGATGGGAAGAAAACAAAGTGAAGATAAAAACTGCATCCCTATGCAACTCTTCAAGCTCCTGCAACGTTTGGCTATTTACAAGAAAAGCTTTAGAAAGGCCTGACCTGCCCACTTTGCTACTGCACTTTACCTAAAGTAGCACCAGATCCTGTTTCTGATTAATGCATTTAAAAATCGAGAAGAAATCAAGAAAAACTGCATGGAAATGTTGAAAGCCAGCAGAATATTCAGGCTAGAGAGCAGATGATTTAACAGCAGCCCGTGATTCAGTGTCTTTGAATCTCTGCTCAGCACTGGACCGCAGCCAGCGCGTTTGGCCAAGACCACCCACCTATAACCTAGATCCCGGCTCTGCTGGACCATGTGCAAGATGTAGGATTCTCGACTGGTGCCGGTCAGGCCGGGAAGAAGCAGGACTGTGGGCCTGGTGGTGGGGTCAGGATAAAAGAGGCTGTCATCGTTGTCAAACCAATCCACAGATATCTGTCCTCCATCTGCTGCCTTGATTAGCTCGCTGCAGAGACGAGAGAGAAGCAACTCAGCATAATGGCTCTTCCTGCAAGAGACCTTGCATCAGCATTTGTATGTATCAGCATCTTTCGTCCACTAATATACAAACTTCTCATTTCAAACTATTTTCCAGACTAATTTGGAGAGTACTCAGTCACATTTAAGTCAAATTTAAGGTGTAAATACAAAACAAAACAGGGACCAGATGGATGGATGGATGGATGGGTAAAAAGATGAACTGATAATTGATACAACTCTCAGACATTGAAGAATAAAGTTGGGAAAAATATATTTTCTGTACTCGTTTTCACTTCCTGATTGTTTAGGGAAACTGAAGCATGCCCACAACACACAAACAATGGTGATGGAAAATTGTGCAAATTAGTGGAAAAGTGGTGATTAACTCCATCCTCTGCACAATCTAAGCTTTCAGACGAGTTCCAGGTAAACTGATTACTTCATTATATCCATTCCAGAGCCAACAGTCAGAGGGGAATTGGATATATGAGCAGTGCGCTCACTTACAGCTGCCTTATTTGTCTCATGAACATCTTTTCAGTGGACTTTGCAACACGTGGCCAGTTCAGATAAAGAGCAGGACAATGCACCATTAGCTTCTTATGGCCACTCAGTTACTGCACTTTACAGCTGTAGCCTGGAATGAGGATCTAGTCTTTTAAGACACTGCAGTGGACATAAAACCATGCAGTGCTGCCAGTGAAAAACTTGGCCAACCTTTGGGGGAGGCATCGGCATGAAATTACAGAACCTGTCCTGAAATATAAACCTGAGGCAAGACTTTAAAGTGAAGAAGGATTGACACAGAAACCTGCACACATATTGGGAGGAGGTGCATCACTAATCCTCCCATCAGAAAACAAGGAGAGTGAAATTTCAGCCAGAAAGCTTACTACAAATAGGATGGATTTCACATTGGCCGTCTTTGGGTCAACCTTGGATAATTTCATTAAAGTCCGGGGAGGTTGTCCAGCTGTTTCCAGAGGGAATTTTCTAAGTACAGCAAATGTGACCATTGTTCTTACCCAGCTTGATATCAGAGATCTGCACTAGTATGACTACATACCTTGGGCACTGAGGGAATACCAGTCACCTTGACAAAAAAAGAGCATCAAAGTACAGGCAGTGTGAATGTCCTTGGGACCGACTGCAGTGGAGGTTACATTTAAAATAGAAAGTAAAATTTACAATTAAATCAACAGTCACTGCCAAGTGTATTTCTTTTTGCCAGAATGTAAAACCTAAACGGCCATATTAGATCAAAATAACACCAATTCAAAAATACTTGAATTAAATCTTGATCAAACACAGATTCAACCGGGATTAAGTTACTCTACACAAAATGCTGTGCAGATTTATGAGTCCCTAAATCCATCCTTTAAAGCAGTAAAATGTGATTTTCTTTCTTTTTTCTGACCAATCTCAAGCATTACCTTTATACAAAACATATGACACTTTTTAAACTTGACACTTAAGACTCCATATGTCATAATTGGACTGTCACATATCACCACAAAGATGAACTAGAGCAGAATAAATTTCACACAAATATGCTTTATATTGCAAGTATAGAAAATCCACCTTGACGTAGGCAAACAAAAATAACACATTTAAATACATTTTAAATAAATCACATGTCATCAATTTTCCATAAATTACAGAATGGTTTTCCTTTAACACAAATTAAACTGTCTCTAACTCTTACATTCAGCTGGGTTTTGATTTCAGCTTTCACAAGAAACAATATCAGCAGGTAAAGTGAACAAAATTAGAGCACAAGATTTGTTGCAGACCTGAAACATTTAAGTCCAAAAACTGAAAATACATTCACAGCCAAAAAATTCTGTGGCACACAATTTATAACGGAGAAGAACTTACTTTCTATAGACAACACCAGGTTTGGCTGTAACAAAAGGTCTCAGCAGAGTTTGAATGCGACTCTCCCAGCACCAAAATGTGGGGTAGTAAGTCTCTGACACGACTGGACATTGCTCCTTTAGAAACTGGTAGAACTTCTTACCGCCAGAAATAAGTTGAGGTTTCTGTAAAATAAAAGGGAATAGTTTTGCTGTATAACAAAAATATCATTTTATTTTTAAGATAATGTAATAAGGATAAAAAGATGAATTTATAGAATCTCAAATCCAAGCTGACTATACAAAACACGGTATGAAACGGACCACGGTAAAAGCATTAATAATGATAACAATCATTAAAACTCACATGTGTAAACTTATATGTAGTTATTTTAAATTGAGAAAACCATTAGTAAAACCCCAAAATAAACTTTTAATGTAAAGTAATGTCAGTTAAATGACCCTGAGAAGTTAAGTTTCCTTAAATTTACTTGTAAACTGTTGACCGTGTTCCATGACTTTGTATTTTTGTGTTTTTATGATGTAAAGCACTTGTTGCTGGAAGGTAAAATTTGATTTGATTTGATAATTCAAGCAACATTATCAGCTTAAATAATAATGTTATTTTATTCAGTTTAAAAAGTTGCTTAAACTGTTCAAAAAATTATTTTAAAAAAGCTCGAGACAATAAATTTACTTAATAATACAGCAATAAAAGATTAAATGAAAAAGATCATTTTGAGGTGTCACGCCTCCCTGATTGACTGATTTTAGTTGCTTTGCTTCTAGTCTGTTCTAGAATTTCCTCAGTTCGGGACGAGCCTACTTCTTGTTGTCAGATAGGTTCAGTTTAGTGATTGAATGATTCAACAGGTAAGGCTGTAATACGATCTAGTCTAAAAATCTGGTTAATCGCATTTTTATTTATTTCATAAAATAACAACGGGGAGCGGGATTTTTATTGGACAGCTTTTTTTGATCATTTTTTATTTACTTGGGTTACCTATCATTTTAAAATCTCCCATCACTGATTATTTGAATGAGACTGTAAACACACAAAAAAAGAGATGTTAGGGAGAAATACTTTTAGTGATGTACTAGGATTAAATGAGATGATGTGTCTTTTATGATCCATAATCATATTGCTACACTTCGATTTAAATACCCATAGATTATTGGAAAAGCCACTAATATCAGTTTTAAGCAATTTTACAATTAAACTCTAAATGCATCATTTACCAGCTACATTTCAACCCACTATTACACAATACGCATGCACGTTTATTATTATCCTAAAGGTCATGTGTAACAGATTATTATGACTATTGCATGAAATCTATAATGTGAGTATCCATAGCTTGCCGGGTCAATGCAACAGCATGTGTTACATAAAACCCTTGAAGCAGAGTGAGCGTTGTCGACACAGCAGTGGTTTCCAGCGAAAAGTCGGCCTTTCTCGGCTAGTCTCGCCATCGATCAGTCATTATTGAGGAGCTAATACATATATGTTCAACGAGTTTATGAACAAGGAAAATGCATTTTGTCTTTTTCGGCGCCACATGTGCAGTTCCCGGCAGAAACTGCGGTCAGTGAACGCATCACTCGGCTTTCATCCCTCGCCTCCGAAGGATGCTCCTCAAGGATAAATCCACATCTGCTACCCACACCTTAACACACGCAAGCTGTTTGACGTGAGAAGCCGCGCTAACATCGACTTACCTTGGCTACCGAAATTAAATAATAGCAGGTGTAAGCTGCGCTGAAGCCGAGTACCAGAGACAACCCCACTCCCGAACCGAACAGCCCAACTTTCACTTGATTTTCCAAATAATGTGAAAGGTCCCTTGTCAGAATGTTGAAATTCAAGTCCAGCGAGATCATTGCAAGGTTGCTCTTGTCTTTTTCGGAGCAAGGACAGCGGCCAGCTCAGTTGGGATTCAGCTGCGTCTGCCTGCGAGCCAACTGTGAAGGAGACGGTCAAGGGGAGCAGTGGAGGGGTGGAATATATGGACAAGCGAGAGGTGGCGCTCTTTGACCGACCAGCCATACACCACTGACAAGATTTGCTCTGTCTCCCCCTGCAGGCCACAAAGTGAGGGTGCAAATGTTCAAATTGATCTGATTGTGATTGTTATAATATAAATGTAATATAATTTATACCGTTAATATTTTATATTGACGTTACTTCAAAAATATGTGACATACTTCCAGAATGTGACAGTTACAAATTATTATTGTGTGATTCTGTAGTTTTAATGGTTTTCCTCTAAATAGCAAAAGAAAAAGACCATTTTGATTTTAAACTATTATTTAAACTATTATTTAGACACTTTACTTAAGAAGTGTCTGTTTAAGGCACCACTACGTTGAAAAGTAATTGCACATGGTTTGCTTGGATAAACAATCAAAAGTCATTATCTCCACTTTCCAAGTGAGACTTGGGAGACTTCCCACACAGCGAGAACAAATAAGATATGCAGGTCTCTATACAGCGCATATAAATATCATGTTTCAACTGTAGTCTTTGATTTGATAACTCACACTTATGACTCTGTTTATCCATAGATTTTCAACCATAGCCCCTGTGGCCTGAATACCAAATGAGTCAGAAATATGACTGAGAGTGAGAATTCTGGCTTTATGTGGAATTTAGGTTAAATATTCCTAAGAAATATTTTTGATTTTGAAAGTGAAAATGAATAAATAAATGAATCGATTAAATATAGTGGTAGGACACAGTTAAAACTGATGACACAGCGAGTAATGCCCCTGTGTTTGCAGGCTCACAAGGGAGCCAAATGCTCCAGCTTCAGCGAGTGGTAATCCACTGTAATTTAATTAACAGAGTGCGTGTTGAAATCCAAAGGGCCTTGAGGCAACATTACAACAGGGGCTGGGTTGTCTTGTGCCGAAACCTTAGAAGTTAACTGTGCATAGAAGATACAATGTAATGAGAAGTTTTATATATTCCTCTCAGATAAAGTCTAAGTATTTCACTCAACATATTAGTTGTTTTATTTGCTTATTATTATAATTTTATAATCAAATTCGTATTTATGACTTTCAGTCAGAGCCTGCCCAAGATTAGGGGGCCCAAAGAAAAAACTGACTTGGGGATGTTTTGAGTTAAGCCCTGTTACAGTCATTGACCTCTTGGGGTTCTTTTCATGAGAAAGCTCTCTCTTTGTGTTTCAGTTCTGCCTGGCTGCCACAGGTGCAATGCGTTGGACCTCGTCAGCCACCCCATAAAGAGCTTCATGCCAGAAATGTCAGGTCTCTTTTACCCTGGGCCTTGATCTGAAGTGATCTTGGCTGGTGACTGTTTATGGGGACTGAAATGATTTTGCTGTGAGCATATTGTGAAGAATCATGTGTCTAACTAAAGTATCGTGTTTCTATTCACAGCTAACACAGTGTTAGCTGTTAACTGTTTTCTCCTGTTTGTGGTTAGCCAGGGATTTCAGGTTTTGTACCTTTTTCAGTTCTCCTCGAGGAAGTGTTTTTATTTATTTATTATTCTATAGTTAAAAAGGGAACCTCAATTACAATTCAGGTAATTGAGGTTTTACCTGAACTGTAATATAAACTTTCTTCTGCTACTGACATCAACTGTTTAGATTACTGATTTTTGTGTTACACCCAGTGCCAGAATTTGCCCCCAGTGGTCTTGGGGAGGGGTTGTAACAACCCCATCACCAACAAGCCATCAGTGGATCACAAAGATTTACATCTTCATTTGCTTGACTTAGTTGAATGTTAGCACTGCTTAATTTGACTCACACAAAGGGTTTCTTTTAGTTACATTTGACCTCTGGTATATTAAAAGAGAAGTAAATACAACTTGGAGGCAAGTTTAGTCTTCTGACTGACTTATTTAGTCTGGGAGTTATTTTCAATAAAAATATCATAGTCTGCAAGGAAAGAGAAAGTTTAATTGGCTGATTTGAAGCAACTAAAGGATATTTCATTTTTAGTGAACATAAAAGTTCAACTGGCAAAAGCACTTAGTGAGAGAAAGCATTTGGGCACCTCTGAATAGCTGAAGGGGAGATTCAAGAATTTCTCAAACATGCATGAAAGTAACATTCAAAGCATTTTTGATGAGGGAATAACATGCTGTTAAAACTAAAAATGTTAATTTGACATAATACCCTTCTTTAAGATTTTCATAAAAAACCTAATAGTCTAAGTTAACATGTTAAAGCATTTATGAAAATCCACAGGTTTATTACATAGAAAAATATATATGTTTTAGCCCTTGTGATATGTAGCACCATAATTTAAAAATACCATACTTTTATTTTAATTAGAATATCAGATCTTGGCAATGTTAAAGAACACGGGAGTTGAAGAAGACGTGTTACACAGCAGTTGGGGACCAGTTGTCACTAACTGGATGATGAAAGCACTTGAAATTTGAAAATGATGTTGAGGTAGCCTACAACGGATAAGCTTTGTTCCCCATGCCATGTAATCTTGAGAAGTGAGTCAAGTTACTCATAATGTTGTACACAGAAAAAAAAAAATCCATCTAAATTGTAAATGAATGTAGATATCTCGAAGTCACAGTGGAACCTTATGTTCTCTTTGCTAAAATAAAATTAAAAAAATTATTGGCGTGTCAGCTAGATTAGAACCGAAAAGAAGATTAATTTTATCCCTTTGTTATATTTTAAAATAGGCCCAGATACAATGATACTTTTGAACACGTATATGACACATAGTATATTATATTTACCACTGAATGGCATAATCACAGCTTGTAGCTGTGTTTCAAAGACATTCTTTATATTTCCACAACAACCGGGCGGTCTTCCGCTCGGCTCTCGTCTTCGTGCTTCGTCGTGCATCTCCGTAGCTAGTTGTTGCTCGTCTGAGGCTCGAACGATGATTGAGAATAATGGCGACGCGTACACTCTGACTTGATCCCATGGAGCAGGCTGGAGCACATAAAGGAGAACCCGTTGGATGTTTTTTGTGCACTTTTAAAAGTAACGATACGGATAAACAGCCACGAAATGAAGAACAGTCGCTCTCAGTAACGAGGAGCCAGGAGAAATTGTACTGTTAGCATTGCTATTTGTAGCATTGTGTTCGCTAGCTTGCTAAGTTGAAGAGGTGGCTTTAATGTGTGAACTGAAGGGGAGGTGAAAACTGAGTAGTTGTTTTCAAACTGAAGATATTCTTGCTGAATAGTGTTTTTGAATTGTTAAGATTTTCCTTCACACAGCAAGTATTGATTTGTAGATAACGTTAGCTTGTAGTTTTTGTAAAGGATCCACCAGGACCCTCCTTGGGTTAGCCAGCAGGTTAGCTTTTGTGGATTTTTTTTCTCTCTCCGGCTTCTTTCCTGTCTGGACTTGCTTTCACCTCACTTGGAAACTGTCTGCCTACCCAGTGCACTTAACAGCCCGATAACTCGCTAACGTGAAAAGAATTGTTCGTTTTTGTTGCGAGCTCTTTTCGTAAATGACCACCGGCAGGAACAACCGGGCGATGATGGAAGGAGTCGGAGCCAGAGTGGTCCGCGGACCCGACTGGAAGTGGGGGAAGCAGGACGGTGGAGAGGGACATGTCGGCACCGTCAGGAGTTTCGAAAGTCCAGAAGAAGTGGTCGTTGTTTGGGATAACGGGACTGCTGCCAACTACCGCTGCTCTGGAGCTTACGACATAAGAATTTTAGACAGTGCGCCAACAGGTAACTTTATTTGTTGCATTATTTTGGCTGAACTTCTGACGCTTCTGTGCAACAGTTGACTTATTGTTCAGTTGTGAATATAAGGACTATTCTTTAGCCTTCTCTTCAGTTAGCCTCCATTTCTGTGGCTGTAAATTGTAAACAAATAAACATGGCGGCAATTACTTGCATTGTGCGCGCATACACATTGTTTTGTTGCTGTTGAAAACTTGCTTTTTGTTTTCTCTTCTTTTACAAGACGCAGTTAATGAGTGGGTAGCTACTAATGTCTATATCAGAATATCGCTGAAGACTAGACTGAAAACTGGAGATTCACCTATCAGACTGTCCTTGCTGGTACTGTAGATAAAAAAAGAAAGAATGCTGTATCTTCTTTTGGTAGACGTAGTTGTTTGGAATCCAAATGAAATTGAAGGAATAGAAAAATTATTCATATTAATGCATCAAAGTTTAAAACTTTGATGCAAATGCATCAAAGTTTAAAACTTTGATGCATTTGATTTCTAGTCAACTAAAACAAGAACATCAAAGTTGTTCTAACTGTGATGCAAGCACTGAGGAAGCAGGACTTCGTTTTTGCTTTTACATTGCTTTTACTTTTACACCTCTGCTTATGTGTAAAAGAAAGTAAATGCCGTTGTACGTACACTTAAAATGAAGAAAAATGCATCATAATAGAGATGCACATTTATTGCTTTTCCTGCTTCTTAATCAATTGAACCAGTTCTATAGACTCAAAATAGTGGGAATTGTTACATTTACCTCTAAATCCCCCTTATTTCTGCACTTACTTAAAGTAGTGGTTGAAATATCTTAATGAGCAGGTGTCAAGACGTTGACACATCACCACATAAACATGATTTAAGATACTCATACATGTTGTGATTGCAGTAAGAAAACAATAAAGCTACATATAATCACAACAAAACTTCTAAATGACATTTTGGCTACATTTATGTGGTTTAATGACAACATTACCATATGCAATACACTGAAACACTTTATTATGGGTATTAATGGTTATTGTGCCCTTAGAAATGTGGTCACAGAGAACATATTTATAGCAGCGAGTGTATTTGCGAGAACACCACCACTCCCTTCAAATTCAAGCGTCCTCATAAAATCTCAGTTTTAAGAGTTGCGAAGCCATTTGTCCCAGCCCTTCCCCTGCTCTCCAGAGTCAGCTGAGATGTTCTGTTTCTTAGAAACAATTGGCAAACACACAAGTAAGATAATATTAATAAAAAAAACAAGCATACTTCTAGAGAATATATAAAATGTGGTAAAGAACACTTGTTGAGGGGCACAGGGAGTTTCTACGTCAATCAAAATATGTATCTGCTGGGGTGAGTTTCTTTTTCCTTGA